GTATTCCCTCTCAGCCATGCATTCCCTCCCTGTGCTCCCCTTGCTCCCCATTCCCCACTCCAAGTGGTATCCCTAATTCCCTGAGCCTGGTATAGGGTGCTAAGATGCCCTGCTCTAGACCCAGACCGAAATCAAATCTGACTGTGAAAGGAAAGCATGAGCTGACTGCTCACCCTAAAGAAGCCCTGCACCGCGGGAACCCCGGTGTAACAAAACCCAAAAGAAACTCCTAAAAAAAAGGAACGCTACAAGTGAGAGACAAAAGGAAAACCAAAGCAAAGAGGGGCACCCATGGGGGGAAGCTCCATGCCCCCTTCGCCCCTAGGCTGGCATGTCCCCTGGGCTGGGGTCCATGCCTTCACCTTGGCTGGGGTCTATCTGATCCCCTCTGGGATCCATCTCTTCCCTAAACTGTGGCACCTGCTGCTCCCCTGCCAGCTCGCCTGTTCCGCACCAGACTCTCCCAGTGCGGGGATTTCCCCCAACGCCTACGGCCACTGCCACTGCTGGCTTTGCTACCAGCTCCTTTGATCTTTTCCGGTCTTCCCCAGCATGGATATCCTCCGTGGCTCCCTCTGCTGCCACTGCTGTCAGTCTCCCTGCTGGCTCCTTTGATCTTTGCCGGTCTTCCCTGGCACAAAGATCTTCTGTGGCTCTTTCTGCCGCCACCACAGCTGTTGCATGTGGCGACTGGGCATGCCCCACACAGCAGTTGCCCTCTGCTCCTATGCACCGTGCCCCCTCGCTTGTACCTATGGGGCCAGTTTTTATCTTTACCAGGTGACATCTCTTCCTGACATCACCCAACTCCAGCTGAAGATAAGCGTGGCTGATAAACTATGTGGGCGGTTTTTCCTGGCGCACCTCCTCGCTACCCTGGACTCCTGCAACAGGTAGGTTTCTTTCTATTTTTACTTCCCCCTGAGGTCTGTCTCTGGCTGAGGCTTTCCCTTTGGTCAGCCCTGCATCTCTGGGACATTGCCAAGAAGGCTAACAGCATACTGGGCTGCATCAGTAGAAGTGTTGCTGGCAGGTCAAGTAAAGTGATTATTCCCTTCTCCTCAGCACTGGTGAGGCCACATCTGGAGTACTGTGTTCAGTTTTGGGCTTCCCCACTACAGAAAAGATGTAGACAAATTGCAGAGGATCCAGCAGAAGGTGATAAAAATGTTGAGGGGGATGAGGGACATGACTTTGAGGAAAGACTGAGGGAACTGGGTTTATTTAGTCTATAGAAGAGAAGACTGAGAGGAGACCTAACAGCAGCCTTCAACTGCCTGAAGTGGGGTTCAAAAGAGAATGGAGCTAGACTGCTCTCAGTGGTGGCAGATGACAAAACAAGGAGCAATGGTCTCAAGCTTCAGCAAGGGAAGTTTAGGCTAGATGTTAGGAATAATTTTCTCACCTGGAGGGTAGTAAAACACTGGAACACATTTCCCAGAGAGGTGGTCGAATCTCTAACCTTGGAGGTTTTTAAGACCTGGCTAGACAAATTTTGGTTACAATTGTCTAGTTGTGGATGGTCCTGCCTTGAGCAGAAGTTTGGACTAGATGACCTCCTGAGGTCCCTTCCAACCCTAATTTTCTATAATTCTATGGTGAGCAGCAACAGCTGCTCCATTCTTCCCACTCACTGGAGTGGGATGTGGAGTGCTGGGAAAAGACTCCCCATGATTTCCATACCCCTAGGCCCTGCAGTCTAGAGAACAGGTCTCCTCCATTCTGATCCTGGTTTTCCAGGAGTGCAATAGAGGGAATATCAAGGCAAAGCCCCTAGCCCATATCTCAGGCCCCTAAGTCCCTGGTCTGGGGAAGAAGTAGGCAGCAGCAGGCAGCTGCTCCACTATCCTCCCAGACCAGATGGGAAGAGGAGTGGAGTAGCATACAGGCATTCATTCTTGCAAGAGAAACTGTCTAACAGAGGAAAACTTTCAGGTGTCAACCCAGAAGATCTTCCCCTTGGAGGGGACATCTTTCCTTCAGAAGAAACTGGATGAATGTTTGTATGCTCTTTCTACAAGGAGATTGGCAATTCTCCTAGTAGAAGAATAATACCTGTACATGGTCAAAACTCTCTGCTAAGTGCAGTAAGGCTTCTGCTGACTACTAAATCTGACAACATGGGTAGATCTAGGATTTTGAAAAGGTGAGTGCCAATGTTGTGGGGCACAATCACAGCATATGTTTTTCTCCAACTGAAATGAAACTATAAGGTTTACTAAGATGTTAGGGGCCTAGAGCTATATTATTTTAAGTCCAAGAAAATATATTACTTAGGGTTTTTGTTAACATCCAAGCAAATATATATATAACTGAGTTGGGTGGGGGAGGGAAGAGTGGTAGATGACAGCCAGCTCCAGAGTGGAGCAGATACCCGGTGCTGGGGAATACAGCTGTAACCCCTCCAGCCTGGTCATAAATAGAACTGCTCCATACCTCTCCTCACATGGGCCCTCCAGACACTTCACCCAAAAGTGCATTTCACTGTTCTTTATGCATTGCCCATGCCATCCCAAATGCCCTGTTACCTGTCCCCTGTTATCCTACATGACCCCATATTCAGTGCCATCCCTTCATGCTTCAGACCTATCACACCCCACCATCACCCTCATGCTTCACTAAGTCCTACTGTACCTGCTCACTGTCTCTATAAATCAACTCCAACCTGTACAGACACATCACAATCACACCCTAGCCACCTGATCGTTGCCATCCCTCTCTCACCCCATTAAGATCTCCCCTGCTCTTCTGAGCACCCAAAATGTACACATTGCTGGCCTCCACTGCCCTCCAACCTCAACATAAAGAAACAAACTGTTTGGATCACAGGCAGATTCATTTTTGCTGCTTGCAGTTCCCCTACCCAGGGTGACCAACCCTTCTCATTCACCCATACCAGGTTGCACTGCTACTTCAGCCTCCCACAACCCCCATCATGTGCTGGAATGACTAACTAAGGAAAGAGTTATTATAGTAACTTGTCTTTGCTTCGCCTTTGAAATTCCCTCCTGGCTTCTACTGAATATCTTAGCATGTCTTCAGCCCTTCACAAACCCTCCTTGTCTCTGATTTGTTGTGGGTTCAAACCCCCAAGGAAGAAAGCTCCCCAGTACAGGTCTCTAGGTAGCAGCAGACCTTTACTAGACATGCTGGGGGGTGAGCAGAGAAACTTTACCAGGGGTAGATAATAGACAGGATAATTATAGGGCTAGTTTGATTAGTGGAAGATCAAGGGTTGTTAATACTAACAGAGTGAAGAGATTAGCAGGGGTCAAGTAGATAATAATGAAACAACAAGTTGATTGATGCCACGCCCTCTCATCTTTACCTGAATAGAAATGTGGCTTTCCCAACTAGCCCAACATGGTAGGGCTGTGCAAATCTTTAGGTGCTGATTCAATTTGGAGGAGATTCAGCCTGATTCAGCGGCAGAATCTCTGACTCTGAATGAAATCGGGAGACCAATAAAAAGGTCCAAATCAATTTGAAGACTCCGAATCGATTCCAAAAAGATTCGGATAAAGATTCAGAGATTTGGGCAGTCCACACTCTCCACCACAGGGAGCTGGACTCAGGCTCTGTGCTGGTAAGTAGGGGGTGAGGCTGAAGGAAGGGGAAAGGGACCATGGGGGGACCCCCACCAGGCCCCATCCCCTGCCTGCTCCCTGAGCCCCCCTAAGTACCCCCCACCCACTCACCCATCCCATCAATGGCTGCCCTGTCTGGCCCCAGTGCCCTGGCTCTTAAAAAAAAAAAAAAGCCCTGCACTCACCAGCCATTGGGGCTTCTGCAGTTTCATGGCAGAGCCCCCACATGCAGTGCAGGGCAGTGGGGGGCAGTGGGGATTGCCCCTCTGCCTGGCAGCAGCCAGTGGAGTGCAGGGCTTTTTTTATTTTATTTTTTTATTTTTTAAGTGCCAGGATGCTGAGGCCAGCTGAGGCAGCCATTGATGGGGTTGGGAGAGCAGGCAGGGAACGGGACCTGTTTGATTTGGCCAATTTAGCAAGGGCCAAATTGATTTGGGACAGTGATTCAGATCACTGAATCGAATCACTGTCCCCTGAATTGGCCAAATCTGAAACGAATACTAGCCACTTCTCACTGGCCTACCACATGTATCCACCCATACCTGCTAGCAGCCAGATAGAGGTACATGAAGATACATGCACATCATCAGCTGACTGCTGTGATCCACTCAGTAGTTAGTGACCTCTCAGAATGCACTTTGCACTCCGGTGACATAGCTGCTGTAGCGGAGCCATGGTTTGCTTCAAGAAGCTGATGGGTGTTCAGCAGCCATGATGGCTTGATGAGGGCATCTATTGTTTGCCACCAGAAATTCTGGCAGTGGAGGCAACCCTAGTGTAGACAGAGTCATAATCTAGATAAGTCTTGAAACCAACACATTTTGAAGTATCAGTGTCAGGATACTTCAGTTTCAGGTTCACAGAAAACTTAAAATTAAAACAGTTTCATGCAACTCTAGAGCTAGCTGTATTAGGTTTTTTTCTAATGGTTAATCATACTCTGTGATGTTCCAGCTTTTAAATTGCTTAGTATTATTGACATTGCTTCACATTGATCTAAAATATCTGTTCATAGCAACTGACTTGCAGTTTCCAGAGATTCAACACAGTGTTATCATTCAAGTTTTTTACTGTGCTTTTGTATTACAGAACAGACTATGAAAAGCTTCTATGTTCACCACACAGTAAGTTTTTTCCTCAAACGTGTACTGAACTATCAAAAAGAAAACAGGGTATAGAAGTCAAACAACAAAAAGAAATATATAATAAAAATCCATACTAACCTGACCTCTTTCAAGACTTGCTTCTGACCTTGAATGCCTGAGTTTTCTTTTACAAGAATCTCCATTCTCTCCAAATATTGTGATAAGGATATCTGCATCAGTTCCTGACGCAGGTAATGTTCCTGTATGAACGCTGACTGAATAAAGAACTTCTGCCATGAAAAATCAATGAATGAAAACATTACCAAATTAATCTATTTACCAATCTAATTACAAAACATTACTAGTCAATCTATCATGAGTAAATGACTAATTTAAAGGACTAAGAGATAAATTAATATTCATTGGTGTACTTTCAAGTTCCTGTATTTTCCATCCAAACCTGGTATAGTTTTCTAACTATTGATCAATGACCTGTTGCAGTGCTATAAATGTTAATGTAGATGTCCTTTATAAAGGAATACCAAAAAAGAGAGAGAAAAAATCTATTGAGGTATTAGGCATCCTTCTTTGTTTTAGGTACATTGTATACCATATCTACAAAATAATCTTGTATACTAAATATTTTGAATAAAAGTCTCCAAACAATAATGCTGTTTTCTTCCAATTCAGGGCTTAAAGGTGTGTAAATTGTGTATTGGGGTATATTTTAGCATTTAGTTCTTTGCAGGGTTAATGGAACCCTATGTATTAGACCAGGTAGCCGTGCTAATGTGCCTGACTGCATCTGGTATTCAAACTAGATCATTCAGGGCTTTTGCTGATATCTCTGCATGGAACTGCAGTGTAGCATGCAGAAATATCCTTATTTATAGAAAGACTTATGGCAACACCCATTAAACAGAGTTGAAAAAGTGTCATTAAAATAAATGAGTTGTGGATTGGGCCCTGAGCCCTCTTCCTAATAATTATGGACCTTAACTCCAGTTACAACTTACTACAGCAAAAGTTTATACAGATGAAATACAGGATTAACAGTGTTAAAATCCCACTGTTTATTCCAGATCAGCTGCATTTGGATTTGGACTGTCAGTAAGATAATTACTGTTAGGGCTGTGCAAAATTTCACCAGGTGTTTCATTCTGAACTCAAAACAGAGAAATCAAAATGAAACAAAAGGCTTCGAAACAGTATCAAATTGAAATGAGGGCAATCAAAACATTTTGGAAAAAATTCTGAAACGTTTTGAGTTTCAAAGCTGAGCTTGCCTGCAGGGAGACAGAAACTAAGAAGAGGGAGGGGGAAGAGGGGGGAAGGACTGCTCTGATATTGACATGTGTAGCTGGATAGTGACTGTGTTCCTTCCTTAGGCCCTTCCAATCCAAGTGCTCTGGGGGAGGGATGAAAAAAACAGCATACAAAGCAGCATTGTTTGAACTAAGCTTTCTGCCCTGGGGTCAGTTACTGAGCTGCGTCTTCCAGCAGCTGAGCAGCATCAGAGAAAGGCCATCACTTTCTACTTGCTAGCTTGTTACTAGCAAGTGAGATTCAATACCTTTTCATTCTATACCGTTATTATTATATTCATTCATTCCTTTCAATTTATTCCTCCCGCAAAATCCTCTTTTTGTTTTTGTTATTTTATTTTTATTCTTTTTCTCCAGAAAAGAAATCTATGCTTTTTCTCAGTGTGCATTCCATTCACTGTTCAGGGAAGCACAGAATATATTGCATGCTATAATATAGAATTTATGCAGGAACACATACAACATACATTGACATATTTTATTTATTACATAAATACATAAACGCATACACACATTAAATAAATATACATACATTCAATTATCTACATTTATTACATAAATACAGATTATATTACATTCAACCCGAAAGCTTGATAAGATATATTTCTCCAACTATTTAGTTGGTTTACTAAAAGATAGCAGATTGACCCAGAGAACCTTTTCTGCCAGTGCCATGTCTTTAGATCAAAATGGCTTCAACCTACACCCCTAGCATCTGTCTCTGGTCAACTGA